ACTTTACTCTCAGTATTATGACTATTCTCATAATGTTACAACATTTTTATAATTTTACTTTTTTCTCATAATATTGCAACTTTATTTTGTAATATTATGACTTTAATCTTGTAATTTAAAAGAATAAAAAATATTTTAGTGTGGCCCTAATACAGTATGTTTGACATCTGGTTCATCTGAAATAAAATTTGATGTCTTTGCATGTCGTAGCAAATTGGAAAAAGTTCAGTGAAATGAGGTGGAATCAAAGAAATTGTGACCCACACATGATCAAAGCACATCTGTGTTGTTTGTCTGTCTGTAAGCCAAATATCTCATCAACCACTGAACTCATTTTAATGGAATTTTCAGAAGGCAATCATTGATGATCTACAAGTAATCGTTTTTGGAGTAAGTTTGATTCAGGATGATCATCACAGCTTATCTTAGCAAACGTGAGATATTGAGCCCTAACCTAACCACAACTGTTTTTATTTTTTAGAAAGTACTGAATTTTATTAAAACCTTCCTTGTTGTAGTGCAAAAGGAAAAAAATACCAGTCTGGTCAATTCTGTGCATCACATGAGTAAAAATAAAATCTAGGAAAATACCAAACCGACCTCAGTTCACCCCACTGGCTGATGTGTGCATGTTGTGTGTAAGTAAAGCTAAGGAGGAAATAACCTCACATGAGCAGCTCTTTCACAATATCAAACAGTTCTGAGCGAGCTTCACTATAAAGTCACTAAAGCAGAAGTAGCTACTAAATTAGGACCCGTTTGATGAAAGGTTCACAGTTGCTGAGTGGAAAACACCAAATTTTTCTCAGTTTGGTTTATCAAATGCATTTTGCCCACACACACACACTCACATAAACAAGAAAAACATCTTAACCCTTGACAGGTCTATCGTGTTTTATTTTGTTTTTTTAGGATGTTTTTTTTTTCTGTTGCCTCATTTATGTTTGGAGGTATTTTCTTCTTATGAAAAAAGCTACAGCCTTTCCTGATGTGTTATCCTCCATTTTTCAGTTCATTCTAGAAATTTTTCATACATTCTTCCTGTTCAAAGCTGTAGCTAAAAAGAAAAAAATCTKTACATTTACCTGTTTATGTGTACTTTATCAGCTCTGCCAGGCTTTGCAGTTCATAGGGGAGTCTGAGTGCAGAATAAAGGTCAGGGTCAACTTCCACCTGGGGCCTTTCTGTGTGGAGCTGACATGACACAAGCTTTGTATCTGTTTGAACACTAAAATATGTTGTATTTATCTGCAAGTCATAATTTCAGAAACAAAGGTATGCTGTTGATTTGAATAGCGTGCAACCACATCAGGCTTTTTTTTTAATTATTATTTTAAGCTTCGTTGTCAGATGATGTCAGTTGAGTTCACTGCCTTTTTTTCTGTCTTCAGCTGTTAGTGTCAACATTTAGGTGAGAATGAGTTTTGGTGGTTACACAGTTAAACTTCCTGTGACCAGTTCTCCTTGTTCTCCTTTCCCATCCTTTGTTTGAAGGACAGATTTTGGCCACTGTGGTAGATAGATTGTCTTTTTTTTAATAAGATAAATGGAAGTAAAATACATTCACTGAAAAACAGGAGCGACAGACAAGACAAAAGAAAACTTTTGATACTATTGTGATAAAATGACACAATGGAAACTCTTGCAGTGTATATATACAGTCTATATATATA